TTTTCTCACATCCCATGAGCTTTCAGCTTAAGCTCCTTCGCAGCTTCCAAATGCTTTAAGGTTAAGCTTATCCTTTCGTGTGCTTACAAGTCTGTTAGATCAGGCAAAGTATATTTACATGAGCTTTCAAATGAAGCCTTCAATTTTGCTGACGAGCATAGTCTTTTATATGTTATAGGAGCGATACCTCAAGAATCGAAATGAGATTCAGATCGATTTGATATACGCTCAAGTTAACAATATATTTAAGCCAAACTAAGCTTTAAACGAATAAAAAGCTTTTTTGTGCTTTTTAGAAAAGGTACTGTTAAGTATTTATATAATGAGTAAATATTGCAAATATCATTATATAAATGCCCATATTATTCAAATTTTTCCTAATCCCATAAACTTTTTAAACTAATTTAAGCTTTAAGGTGTTGAAAAAGCTTTTCTTATCTTTGAAAATTGTTTAAAGCTTCCTACAACGGAAAGTAAACAGAAATAAGAGATTCGGCTATTTAATTAAGAAATCATGTGTTAATAAATTATGAAAATGTATGAAATGGAAAGAGGCTTACTTTGCTTATGTTTTCTTTCAGCTCTAACCTCATCGAATTGCGCAACTGTCCAAGCAGGAGTTAGCATATGAAGATTTTTTGTAAGCTCTGATATTTTCACGCGTTTCGTGCCAATTCACGAAATGCGAATGGAACTGAGATGGCGCATAAATATACATGTTCTCTTCTTTCGTCTTTGACCTCAGAGAGCTGAGAAAAGCTCAGATGTAGAATTGGGAAAATTGGTGCTTATTATTTAGATTACATGTGATATTTTCACGCGTTCTGCGCCAATTCACGCAAATCAAGTGGAAACGTGCTTATCTATGGGCATCGTTTTTCTTATAAGACACTAAACAACCTATTAAAGGGTATCTACACAGTCTTGCGGACTCTCTAGAGAGCATGCATGCCTATTTTAGCAAAACGATTAAGTGAAAAAAGATCTCAGCCTGTTTGTTTTGAATGTGAAGTTCATAGGAAATGCGGCGCTGATGCACCTGATGCCACATGCGCGATTGTTTTGCATTTGCGTTTTGCGTTTTTGTTTATGTTTATGTGAAATGAAAAAAAAAAAAAAAAATAGGTATCGTTTGCATATTTTGCACAAATGCGTGAGCGTTTTCTCACGAAAAATGTCCAGAAGCAGACGAGAAGAAAGAACAATAAGGCGAGGCATAAATAAACAAGATACAAGGGCAAATTAAGTGCGATTGTTTTTCGCGAAAGGGCAAAAGCAAATGACCCAAACGGAACGAAACGAAACGAAATGGAATAAAATGAAATGATATGCAATGAAATTAAAGGAAACGAGTGGATTAACGGAATCGCCGTGTAACGACTTTTCAATGTTGCCAATTGCCAAACAGCTGCTGCTGGCGCCCTCTGCACGCGCCGCTGTCCAGCTGTTGATGGGCCTTCGCCTTCGCCTTTCCTTCGCAGTCGCACGACGACAGGACGGCAGCAAAAGGGAGAGAGGAAGAGTGCGAGAGAGTTCTTGTTGTTGTTGCTGGGTGCTGCCTGCCGGCAACGTTGTTGAAACGTTGTGCAAACGAGCAGCAGCAGTGCGAGAGAGCGTAAAAGAGAGAGAGAGAGAGAGAGAGAGCGCGCGTTAACGCTCTCTCGCCCTCAATGGTAGAAAACAGCGTGCGATTTGTTGGTGAATTTGGCTAAACAACAAATTGTAATTAAAATGCACCAAGACAAAGGGAGAGAGAGGTAGTGTGAGAGAGCGTCTAGTAAAATGGCAGAGAGAGAGAGAGAGAGAGCGCGCGTGGCAAACATATTGCATTTGTTAATTCAAGAATTTTAGTTGTAATTTTATTAAACGCATTTTTATCAAAATTAAACAAACTAAAGCAGCGCTGCCGCGTCGCTGCTGTTTGTCCTTCTGTGCAGACAAAGCGTCGACGTTGACGCTGGCAGCAGCAGCGGCTAGCGGAAAAAGCAGCGTGAGAGCGCTGCGGCTGTAGCTGTACACGACCATCTACATATACATATATGTAAGTGTATGGTCTGTCTGTCAGTGCGTGCCTGTGTTTGTGTGTGTGTGTATGCTGTCAAACGTCGCTGCCCGCAGCGCTGCTGCTGCGGCGGCGTCAATGGCTTTTTAAAATTCTTGTTTGCCTTTTGCCAGCATTTGAGCACATGTATATGCGGCTATATGTTGCTACCTGGCGTGCACACCACATACACAGACACAGACACACACACACACACATGGATATTTGCGGACCGCAAAACCACATGCCTTCCCAATCAGAAACAGAAGTGCACAAGCAGAAAATGCCGGCAAATCCAATATGTTTGCGGCGGCGGTGGCGCTGCCACCGTCTGCGCGCAAAATGTAACACGGTGGCAACGCCGGCAGCGACGTTGACGCCAGCAGCGGCAACGCGTTCAACATAACCAAACAAATTTGATGCTGTTGACTGGCTGGGCCGAGACTGCGACTCACAGACTCACACAAACACACACACGCACACAGACACGCGCGCGAAGGCAAGCATACACATGCATATGTGCATATCAATACATACATACATACATAAATAAAAGGCTGCACTTACATGTTGACTGTTACTGTTTGTTGTTGTTGTTGCTGCTGCTGTTGTTGTTGTTGTTGTCGTTGTTTTTGTTATAAATTGTTGTCAATTTTGTTGTTGTGGTTGTCGCCGTGGGCAGCGCCATACAAAAAAAACATGTTTCACTTGAAGCTAAAGACGACGACGGCGACGCTGCTTCTGCTGCTACTGCTGCTTACACACAGACACACAAACACATATGCACACATATACATACGTATGTATGTACACACTGGCTGACAAACAATTTTGCTTTTCTTTTCTTTTCTTTTTGTTTTTTTTGTTTTGTACGTTTGTTGTTGTTTCTTGCTGCTGGAAACGTTTCATAAATAACATACATATGTATATGCACACACATAGAGCGGGAGAGAAAGAGAGGGAGAGAGAGAGAGAAAAAGAGACATTAAAACATATTCAACAATAACTTTTAGCACACTAAAAAAAAAAAACAACATGAAAAAAAGCGCTGTCGCACGCATACACAGGCAGCGAAATGCGACGGTGACGACGCTGCGGCTAACAAAAGAGCGCGTCGCAACAGCGGAGGCGGAGTACAAAAAAAAAAGGCTCACTAAAAAGAGCACAAAAAAAAAAACAGACAACGCAACGCGAGGCGACGATTAATTTTCGATAATTTTCGCTGCAACTTATTCTGCTTCTTCTTTGATTTCAATGCACTTTAATGCTTGTTTGCTTTTTAAAAATATATACATGTATATATTTATTAAAAATATATAAAAAAAAAGACGCAGCACAATAACAAAAAATAAATGCACACACACACACAAACACACGCATACACAGTTCGTATAACGGTGGAACGGCGCGACGACGACAGCCGATAACGAGAACAGGCCGACGACGACGACGACGACGGCTTTTTTTCACCAACCTTTTTTACTGCTGCTGCCACTGCTGCAGCGCTCGAAACATGCGCAAGAAGGGCGACAAAAAAAAATGAGCTAATGTTAACTAAATGCGTTTTCACATATGCTTTGACTTGTTGTTGTTGGTTGGCTTAATTGATTTATATAGACTGAAATATATTTTGTTGCCACACACGAAACGACGAAATGACGACAACAGACGACGATGGCGACAAAAAAAAAACGCGCGCTCACACGTCTGTACGTACCAAAGAGCAAAACGAAAATGAAGAGAAATGGAAAATACAAAAATACCAGCGGCATGGAAAATACAAAAAAATACTATATGCACTGTGTGGAAACAGTGCTGTTAAATGCAGTAACAGCAGCAGCAGCGATAGCGACAGTGTTGAGCAACGTTGCTGTGCATTTATGTTTTTCCAGCACGTTTATTTGCTCGCACGTTTTGTAGCTCCTTTCGTAGCGTTGACACACACGCACACACAGACACACACACATACACGCCAATACTAACACTAGCACACACACACACGCTGCTCATTATTTGCTGGTATACTTGTTTTGATTTTATTATTTGGCTTTGGTTGGCAACCGGGCAATGCACCAGTGTTGTCAACTGAACGCTGCTCACATGCCCACTTCTTAACTGTATTTGCTTAGCGGCTAAAAAAAAAAACATGGCCCAAAACTGACGCTTGTTTTGCCACTTTTATTTCATTTAACCATCATTTCTTGCAATCAGAAGCTGACAACACTGCGCCCACAAAACACGCCCGACGCACCAACACTCACGCTATGCTGATTAACTGCTTGCACTCATGTATACGGCATACATAGCTTGGTGTATGCGCCTATGTTAATGCACAATTTTTCACTACTATGTTTAAGACTTTTCGTTTTTTGAACAGTTTTTTGTTTTATTTTTATAACTCCACAAGAGCAGGGCTGGCAATCGCCAATAACTGCGCTGCCAGGACTTCAGCGTGTGCTATCGATTCATCGCAAACATATCGATATACAGAGCCGCGCATGCATGACAATAGCATCATGCAATGTTAAATGCAAAATAAATGTGATTTTAATTTCGTAATATAACTCAATAATATTACAAATATTAATGAATAACAATTTATAGAGTGCATTTTCCTATTAGTGGAAAGAAGAACGTTCAACTAATAAATTTAAGAAAATATACAATAACAAGAACATTTCCGTTAGTCTTTCTTCCGAAATTATAAAAAGTAGTCCATATTTTGTAAGGATATATTTTTAATTTAACTTAGAGCACTCACTGCATTTCTATCAGCCAAGAAACTAACAAAACATCTTCTACAAATGAATTTATTTGCAACTACGAATTCAAAAAAAAAAGCGGGTAAATATCTCGCATTTGAATTGGCGCTCAAACGGAAACCGTTGCGCGGCACGCGCATCTTCAGCGTTATCGATAACGATAGCCAGATGCAACGCTGCAAAACGAGTTTCAGTATGAAACAAACAAAAGAGGAGAGGGAAAAAAAACGAAATTCGGCGATACGCGATCGCAGTTAAATCCAGATACGAAATACTATACATACGTGTACTTGAGATAATTAAACGCAGCTATAAAAAGCCAATTAAGCGAAAGCCAAACAGCACAGTGCAAGCAAAGCAGGCGAAGCGATCAAAATGTCGACGCAACAGCAACAATTGGACTACATGGAAAGATATCTGGTGTACGATATCTATAAATATTTCGGCAAAGATGCGGTCCTCGACTCGCACAGCATCACGTGCTCCAATGGGCTCGACGGCTTCATGTCCGCGCTCTACACAGTGCAGCTGGACATGAAAATCGCCGGCAAGTGGGTGTGGCATAATTGAATTCCCCAAGGCTGGCAAAAACTCTCTCTTTCATCTGAAAATCTCTTTCAGCGCCCGCCAGGAGCTGGTGCTGGTCAAGTTCATGAAGGGCAGCCCCGAGTTCCGTGAGTCCAGCAAGTCCTACACCCAGTTCGCCAACGAGATCTTTGTCTATGCGGAGCTGCTGCCCGCCTATGAGAATTTGCTGCGCAGCAGCAAACTGAACACGGATCTGGTCGAGCAGCTGGTGCCGCGCACCTATTGCGCCAAGTTTGGACTGGTCGAGGGTGAGTGCCGTCAGTTATTTGCCTTGTTGCACTCACATTTCACTCCGTATATATATATATATATATATATTTGACAGGTTTGGGCACGGCCAAGGAGTCGGTGCTGGCGCTGCAGCACTTGAAGCCGTTGGGCTATGAGCTGGGGCCGCGATTGACGCTGCGCTCGGATCAGCTGGAGGCCATGTGCCGCATACTGGGCCCATATCATGCACTGGGCTATGCCCTGCGCATACTGGAGCCGCATCTGCACGAGCGCCTGCGCGGCGAGCTCATCACGTTGCCGTTTGTGTTCGAGGCGAATGCACCCAATCTCTATGCGGTGCTTTATCGCGTCGCCTTTGATCGTTTCTATGCGTTCTACGATCGTTGCCGCGATCAGCTGCTGCAGCCGCAGGATGCGCGCTTCGCGGAGGCGCTGCAGCGACTGCGCGACAAATACTTCGGGCAGCCCGTGGAGCTGCTGGAGCATATACGCAGCCACGCCTTGGATGAGACGCAGCCGGAATCGCATTTCAGCACATTCTTGCACGGTGACTTCAATCGCAACAATGTGCTCTTCCATGAGAATGAGGAGGGCAAAGTGGACGAGATTCGCATGATTGATTTCCAGGAGATGCGCTACAGCACCACCGCCATAGATCTAAGCTTCTTTCTGTACATGAACACGCCAGTCGCGGAGCGCGGCACAATCTTTGCCCGGCTGTTGCGTCTATACCATCAGCATATGCACGATACGCTGGAGCTGGTGCTGCAGCGCAATCATGAGACGCTGCCCGAGGAGAAAATCAATCAGCTGCTCAGCGATTACAGGTGCGTAACAGATGCTTTTAATGCCCGTATTTAGCCTAAACATGTCTAATCCTTGCCAGCTACGAGCGCTTCGAGGCGCACTTTAAGCGCTACGCCTTCTACGGCGTCATGATCTGCATGCACTTCATGCCCTGGCTGCTGGGCAGCGATGCCGACTGCGATCGGCTATCCAAGCTGTTCGAAACGGACATGCACGGCGCCGAGTTTTACGAGCTGTCCATGAACATTGCCGGCGATGCGGCCAATCGCCAGATACTCGATGTGTTGCGTCACGCCTTCGAGCAGGGCTATATGGACTGGATTTGATTCCGAGTTGCAATCAGCACAAATTGTTCCACTTATCAGCCTTGTCTCACATGTTCCATGCGCACTATCAAACCCTGTTATCAATTTCCCCAAAAATGGATGCCAGCTCTGCATTCTTATCAATTGGCTCCGTTCCGAATTCCATTCATGTTAACATTAAATGTTATGCAAGGCGCTGTGCCAACACTTTACATTCCAAAAACGAGTGGAATTGAAACGAAACAAAACTTAGTTTCGTTTATTTAAAGAAACACGTGAAAAGTTCCATTTATAGTTTGGTTCCATTCAAAAGAAACACTTGAAAGTTGAACATAACTGTCTTTCAATTATTGTTATGCGCCAGTTTTCATTTCATTTTATAACAAAAACAAGTAAAAATTGTTGTATATAAACGCCAAATAATGTTAAAGCTAAATTTCAGATTGTATAATTTGAACAAAAAGTGTTTTTGAAATAAGTGAAAATGGAACACTTGCGTAACTGTACATTATTTGTGACTCGACAATTTGTGGTTAGAAACAAGTGAATAGGAAACAAAATGTGCCTTAACGTAAAAGTATCCAAATTAGATCAACAAATTGTTAAAATTTAAGATATACAAAAATCGAAACGGAATTCGGAACAGGATTTTATTATATATATATTTATATATGCAATAATCTGTTTGTTAACAATATTTAAGTGCAATTGGCAACATATTTTGATACGTCTTTTAAAGGCAAACTATGCACAAATATTTACACATTTATTGCTATTTGCAAACAAATAAAAATAATGTAATCATGAATTAAATGCGTTTACGCACATTCAACTGTGTTTAAGTTAGTAAGAGGCTTTAACGATGTGTCGAACGATTAAATACAATCGCTGATAAAGTGATCGATCGCAATATTCCAAAGATTAGAATCGTCAGCACGCAAATGTTGTCATATTTTATAAACTTTCAATTCTGTTGTAAGTGAAATATTCTTAAGCTTTCAGATAAAATAGGTCATGTTTCGAGATCGATAGTTATCGATAAATTTCGATATTTATCGATCAAAATCGATATTTATCGAAATGAAAGAATTTACTGCTAAGCACGTTCTGCATTTGTTATCGAAGCATTTAGATTTCGTATTTTATGTAAATAGCTTTTGCAAATCGCTGGCTCGACTCAGCGCGACATACTGATCGACAATAAATACCCTGTAAATGTTGGAAAATGCTTTGCTCTGCCCGTTTCACGCATTTCCAATTTCTAAATCACACATAATTAAGATTTCTATTGAGTTCTTAAGCTATTCCATACAAAAACTTAGTTATAGATGGGTTGATCTTCTTGGTATTTCTAGGATATGTGCCCAGATCCGGCCGATTTCAATGCATTAGCTCTCCTTAGCTTCGAATGATTCACGGCAAAGCGATTTTCTGAAAATTGGCGTGGGAGTACGCGACATTCGAGCAGCTATCAGTCGAGGCAAAAGCTGCCCTTGATTCACATTTGAATATTTATCTAAGGCCACAACAAAAAATAGCTTTAAGAATTGTTTCACATGTGGTTCAAAGTTTTTCTTTTTGGCTTTTTTATTTGCACAACTGTTGGCTGGAAATGCGGTCTATAAAATGCGAACGAGTCGCAGATTAGGAGCACAGTTCCAAATTGGTTTAAGGCGGCATCCGAGATGCATTCAATGGCAGCCTGGCTATTGATGACCCTGCTGGCCAGCACAGCAGCAGCTGCCGAGCAGCTCTCCACGGAGCTGGACGACTATGCCACAGCTGGCAGCGAGGATATATACTTGCAGCCCAACAGCGGGCAGGCGCAGGCGGAGGATGAGGAGGACGACGAAGATGCACAGTACCTGGATGTAGATGATGAGAAGGATGAGGATGAGGATGAGGAGGAAGAGGAGGCAGAGGCGTCGGCAGAATCCCTTGGCAATAACATCGATGCCATCGGCCTGGACGAGAACAGCTGCGAGTTCAGCTGCCCGCGCTATTATCGTCCCGTTTGCGTCAGTCGCAACGACGAGCTGATCACCTATGCCACGCCCTGCGAGTTCTTCAATCAGCTGCGCTGCGCCAATGTCGCGCGGCAACGAGGCAAAGAGACGCCCACCTTTCAGTTGTTGTACCACAATGCCTGCAAACAAAATACACGCTAATATAATTATGTTTCTTTTTATACCCTGAACCCATTAAAAATCGAAACTTTTTCGATGATTTTTTTTTAATATCTCGGGTAATAGCTCCGCGCGGAGATATGACGTTCCAAAACGACATAACTCCGCGGGGAGATATGACGTTTCGAAACGACATAACTCCTTCCAAATCATCACGTTTTTTTCCAAAAATCGATGTCGGTGCGAAAATCTAAACTTTTCTGATGATTTTTTCTTAATATATCGGGTAAAGAATGTCCGATTTTAAAATGTTATACCTTTTTGAATGCGTACGGACGCCTACCATCAATTGACATTCAAACAAATTAATCATCGCGCGGAGCTATGTCGTTTTGAAACGTCATATCTCCGCGCGGAGTTATGTCGTTTTGGAATATCATATCTCCCCGCGGAGTTATGTCGTTTTAGAACATCATATCTCCCCGCGGAGTTATGTCGTTTTAGAACATCATATCTCCGCGCGAAGTTATGTCGTCTTGTAATGTCATATCTCCGCGCGGAGTTATGTCGTTTTAGAGCATCATATCTCCCCGCGGAGTTATGTCGTTTTAGAACATCATATCTCCGCGCGAAGGTTTGTCGTTTTAGAACATCATATCTCCGCGCGGAGTTATGTCGTTTTGGAACATCATATCTCCCCGCGGAGTTATGCCGTTTTAGAACATCATATCTCCGCGCGGAGTTATGTCGTTTTAAAACGTCATATCTCCCCGCGAAGGTTTGTCGTTTTAGAATATCATATCTCCGCGCGGAGTTATGTCGTTTTAGAACATCATATCTCCCCGCGGAGTTATGTCGTTTCAAAACGACATATCTCCGCGCGGAGTTATGTCGTTTTGAAACGTCATATCTCCCTGCGGAGTTATGTCGTTTTAGAACATCATATCTCCGCGCGGAGTTATGTCGTTTTGAAACGTCATATCTCCCTGCGGAGTTATGTCGTTTTAGAACATCATATCTCCGCGCGGAGTTATGTCGTTTTAAAACGTCATATCTCCCCGCGAAGGTTTGTCGTTTTAGAATATCATATCCCCCCGCGGAGTTCTGTCGTTTCTCCACGTCATATCTCCCCGTGGAGTTATGTCGTTTTGAAACGTCATATCTCCCTGCGGAGTTATGTCGTTTTAGAACATCATATCTCCGCGCGGAGTCATGTCGTTTTGAAACGTCATATCTCCGCGCGGAGTTATGTCGTTTAAGAACATCATATCTTCCCGCGGAGTTATGTCGTTTTAGAACATCACATCTCCGCGCGGAGCTATGTCGTTTTGAAACGTCATATCTCCCCGTGGAGTTATGTCGTTTTGAAACGTCATATCTCCTCGTGGAGTTATGTCGTTTTGAAACATCATATCTCCGCGCGGAGTTATGTCGTTTTAGAACATCATATCTCCCCGCGGAGTTATGTCGTTTTGAAACGTCATATCTCCCTGCGGAGTTATGTCGTTTTAGAACATCATATCTCCGCGCGGAGTTATGTCGTTTTGAAACGTCATATCTCCCTGCGGAGTTATGTCGTTTTAGAACATCATATCTCCGCGCGGAGTTATGTCGTTTTGAAACGTCATATCTCCCTGCGGAGTTATGTCGTTTTAGAACATCATATCTCCGCGCGGAGTTATGTCGTTTTGGAACATCATATCTCCGCGCGGAGTTATGTCGTTTTAGAACATCATATCTCCGCGCGGAGTTATGTCGTTTTGGAACATCATATCTCCGCGCGGAGTTATGTCGTTTTAAAACGTCATATCTCCCCGCAAAGGTTTGTCGTTTTAGAACATCATATCCCCCCGCGGAGTTCTGTCGTTTCTCCACGTCGTATCTCCCCGTGGAGTTATGTCGTTTTGAAACGTCATATCTCCCCGCGGAGTTATGTCGTTTTAGAACATCATATCTCCGCGCGGAGTTATGTCGTTTTGAAACGTCATATCTCCGCGCGGAGTTATGTCGTTTTAGAACATTATATATCCCCGCGGAGTTATGTCGTTTTAGAACATCATATCTCCGCGCGGAGTTATGTCGTTTTGAAACGTCATATCTCCCTGCGGAGTTATGTCGTTTTAGAACATCATATCTCCGCGCGGAGATTGACATCATTCCCGATCCGGTTATTGTCAAAAATTTGTATGTAACCATTGGATTATTGAATTGATTAACGGTCAATCTATAATAGGGTTCCGTACGATTACAAAAAGGTATAAGATTTCAAAATCGGACGGGTTTTACCTGAGATATTGAAAATAAATGTTCAAAAAAGTTTTGATTTTCGAATCGACCCCGTTTTTGGAAAAAAACATGATGTAACCACTGTCTTTTTCGTCAAATTTGCTAAAAATTTAGATTTGAATTTTTTGAATGCCAATCGAATATACTGGTCCTTACGAGTGCAAAATGGTATAAAATTTAAAAATCGGACATTATTTGGCCGAGATATTCAATAAAAATCCTCAGAAAAGGTTGACATCATTCCCGATCCGGTTTTTGTCAAAAATTTGTATGTAACCATTGGATTATTGAATTGATTAACGGTCAATCTATAATAGGGTTCCGTACGATTACAAAAAGGTATAAGATTTCAAAATCGGACGGGTTTTACCTGAGATATTGAAAATAAATGTTCAAAAAAGTTTTGATTTTCGAATCGACCCCGTTTTTGGAAAAAAACATGATGTAACCACTGTCTTTTTCGTCAAATTTGCTAAAAATTTAGATTTGAATTTTTTGAATGCCAATCGAATATACTGGTCCTTACGAGTGCAAAATGGTATAAAATTTAAAAATCGGACATTATTTGGCCGAGATATTCAATAAAAATCATCAAAAAAGGTTGACATCATTCCCGATCCGGTTATTGTCAAAAATTTGTATGTAACCATTGGATTATTGAATTGATTAACTGCCAAGATTTTTTTAGAGCGGCGGAGATATGACGTTTCAAAGCGACATAACTTCGCCGTTGATCATGGCGAGATTATGTCGTGAATATCGTGTCCACAACCACTCGATTTTTTTGGGAAAACTTTAAATGGCTATATCTCGGCCAAACAAAGCCCGATAGCGGCCAAAAAGGGATGGGCTACTCGGGGAGGTCCGTAGAATCCGCCAAGATCGACGGCGAAGTTATGTCGCCGTCATATCTCCCCGCAAAGGTTTGTCGTTTTAGAACATCATATCCCCCCGCGGAGTTATGTCGTTTTGAAACGTCATATCTCCGCGCGGAGTTATGTCGTTTTAGAACATCATATCTCCGCGCGGAGTTATGTCGTTTTAAAACGTCATATCTTCCCGCGAAGGTTTGTCGTTTTAGAACATCATATCTCCGCGCGGAGTTATGTCGTTTTGAAACGTCATATCTCCGCGCGGAGTTATGTCGTTTTGAAACGTCATATCTCCGCGCGGAGTTATGTCGTTTTGAAACGTCATATCTCCCCATGGAGTTATGTCGTTTTGAAGCGTCATATCTCCCCGCGGAGTTACGTGGTTTTAGAACATCATATCTCCGTGCGGAGCTATGTCGTTTCGGAACGTCATATCTCCCCGCGAAGGTTTGTCGTTTTAGAACATCATATCTCCCCGCGGAGTTATGTCGTTTTAGAACATCATATCTCCGCGCGAAGTTATGTCGTCTTGTAATGTCATATCTCCGCGCGGAGTTATGTCGTTTTAGAGCATCATATCTCCCCGCGGAGCTATGTCGTTTTAGAACATTATATCTCCGCGCGAAGGTTTGTCGTTTTAGAACATCATATCTCCGCGCGAAGTTATGTCGTTTTGGAACGCCATATCTCCCCGCGGAGCTCTATCGTTTTGGAACATCATATCTCCCCGTAGAGTTCTGTCGTTTTAGAACATCATATCTCCCCGCGGAGTTATGTCGTTTTGGAACATCATATCTCCCCGCGGAGCTATGTCGTTTTAAAACATCATATCTCCGCGCGGAGTTATGTCGTTTTAAAACATCATATCTCCCCGCAAAGGTTTGTCGTTTTAAAACATCATATCCCCCCGCGGATTTCTGTCGTTTCTCCACGTCATATCTCCCCGTGGAGTTATGTCGTTTTGAAACGTCATATCTCCCCGCGGAGTTATGTCGTTTTAGAACATCATATCTCCGCGCGGAGTCATGTCGTTTTGAAACGTCATATCTCCGCGCGAAGTTATGTCGTTTTAGAACATCATATCTTCCCGCGGAGTTATGTCGTTTTAGAACATCACATCTCCGCGCGGAGCTATGTCGTTTTGAAACGTCATATCTCCCCGTGGAGTTATGTCGTTTTGAAACGTCATATCTCCTCGCGGAGTTATGTCATTTTGAAACGTCATATCTCCCCGCGAAGGCTTGTCGTTTTAGAATATCATATCTCCGCGCGGAGTTATGTCGTTTTGGAACTAATATCTCCCCGCGGAGTTATGTCATTTTGAAACGTCATATCTCCCCGCGAAGGCTTGTCGTTTTAGAATATCATATCTCCGCGCGGAGTTATGTCGTTTTGGAACTAATATCTCCCCGCGGAGTTATGTCGTTTTAGAACATCATATCTCCGCGCGGAGTTATGGCGTTTTGAAACGTCATATCTCCCCGCAAAGGTTTGTCGTTTTAGAACATCATATCTCCGCGCGGAGTTATGTCGTTTTGAAACGTCATATCTCCCTGCGGAGTTATGTCGTTTTAGAACATCATATCTCCCCGCGGAGTTATGTCGTTTTGAAACGTCATATCTCCGCGCGGAGTTATGTCGTTTTAAAACATCATATCTCCCCGCGGAGTTATGTCGTTTTGGAACATCATTTTTTCGCGCAGAGTTATGTCGTTTTGAAACGTCATATCTCCCCATGGAGTTATGTCGTTTTAGAACATCATATCTCCGCGCGGAGTTATGTCGTTTTGAAACGTCATATCTCCCTGCGGAGTTACGTCGTTTTAGAACATCATATCTCCGTGCGGAGCTATGTCGTTTCGGAACGTCATATCTCCCCGCGAAGGTTTGTCGTTTTAGAACATCATATCTCC